TGGAAAAAATAATAAAAATAAAATAAAATTGCAAAAAATTAAGAAAATAATTTTTGTGATTTTTTATGGTTCAGAAAAATAAATGAAAATAATAAATATAAAAATAAAAAGAAAAATATGAAAAATAATCAAAATATGCAAGGGGGTGCAAAAGTAATATGGAGGGTACAAACAGCAAAACCAAAAAGGCCAAATGCAACAAAAAGCCCAAGACAGCTCAACTTCGTCCCTGTCCTTCAGCTTGTGCGCGTTTCTTCTTCAAATCTGGAACTTGCTCATGCTTGCATAAAATCAAAAACTCATAACACAAAAAATGTAGCTTATGATCTCACGATTCCAGTGATATAAAGTTTGTAAACTAACTCTCAAAGATCAGAGAGAATTTAATCACCCCTAATTTATGACCTAGTTTTTTCATGAACTTCAAGCTTCAAATTCTCACTACTCAGTTAATATAAATGACAACTATGCATATGTACAGCTTCAGCAAGTTAAGGACTACATTTTTGCTTCACAAATCGTGACTTAAGGATGCCTAAATAAAGAGATAGAGATTTGAAAAATACCTTGTTCAGCTGAGTTTGGATATAGTAATGTGGGAACTTTGAGTGAGGCCTGAAGATCGTGTGAGCTTCCTTGAAGTTCCCTCAACCTTTTCCAATGCTTAGCTGGTCTTGAGGATGCTTGAAACTCCCTGTAGAAGTCAACCTGCAACCTTCAAAAATGAAAATGGTGATGTCTGAAACAGGGCTCACAGTAACAGGACAAGGGCTTGGATAGTTTAGGTAGGATGTATGTAAAGTGTTTGAAGTCTTGAGAGGAAAAACGCACGAGCCAAAATGGAGTTGGCAAGGATTTTGCAGAAGCTGTCCTGTTTGGGCAGAAAAATGTGTTTTCTGTGTTTGGGAAGGTTTGGGATCTTTTTCTTTCGTGCTTAGGCTTGTAACAAGTTTGTGAATGTGTTTAGAATGAAGCCAAGTTCACCCTTTAACAAATGTGCAAGTTCTGATCCCTTTTGCCTCTTTTCTTGTATTTGAAGAAAGTTGAAGTGACTTAAACCAAAAGCTTGTACTTGCTAGTTTTAGGACTGATAATAGTTGGTATGCTTTGCTTAATTCCTGTGGAAATTGTCTGCACCACAAGAACAAGCCCAATGCTCAAGGCTGATAAAGTTGGAAAAGCTTGCTTTATCAAAGTGGTATTGTGAACTTTATGCCATTTATGGATTAATCTTTTGTACAATGCTCCAAAGATCAAAATAAAACCATTATCCATTGATTTAGCATTCAATTATGGAGTGTAAAATGGATTTAGGACCTGTAATGCAAGGTACAATCATGCTTGAGCAGATTTGCAACTTGGTGCATTGTAAAAATGGCTTGAACAAAAGTGACAAAATGCCATTTTCTCTTCTTCGATTCTCCTAACCACAAATGATCTTGGAGAGTTCTTGGATATTTTGGAAAGCTTGTAACATGCTCCACAAATCCATCTTTGAAATTCAACTTGAGATACCTCTTGGAACTAGGTGAAAAGTTTCCATGAAGTTAGGTCAAAACCTGCCTAAACTAGGGCAAAATTTCACTAAGTTAAAAAGTTTATGAACCCCTATTCACAAATTCATAACTTGAGATACAATCATATTTTAAGAAAACTTTGTGAATCAAAGTTGTATATTTCATAGAGGACTACAACTTTAATGTTGGAAGTTTTCTTTGAATCCAAATGCATCATGGTGAAAAAGTTGTGGAAAGTTGGGAAAAAATAAGAAATTTTTCATACTTAGAAAATTTCTAAGTTATGAAAAATTTTCAAATTAAAACCCTAATTTGCAATTTTGGGTTTCTTGATCAACAAGTTTCACATTTTTACATATCTTGATGAATTATGACCCTTGGCACTTGATTTTGACCAAAAAGCCAAAGTTTGACTTTTCAGTGTACAATTGACTTTTGATCAGTTGACTGCAAAATTCATTTGTCAATCCTATGCATTTGAGATCTTTTGAACTATGTGATTAGGTCAAGATGATGCTATTGAGTCCTTGAAATCATTCTTGAACCCAATTGGTCATTGGCTAGGTCAAAAATCAGAAATTGCCCTTTCTCAGTCAAAACCCTAATTTTGACCATTTTGCTCTTTTGATGATTTGATCAAATTTCTTGAGGAGTTGTGATACAAACTTGATAAAATGGTACATAGGAGCCTAAAATGTTGTTAGGGATAAAAAATTATGAAGTTTGACTGTAAATATGGCTGACTTTTTCCTCAATACAGCTGATTTTCAGGTCAACTGTCTAATTGACTGGGCAAAAATGTGATGCAAGGCTTGAAACTTGGTATGAGAAATCTTAGGGGTCTAAGATGGTGTATGAAAGTCACATGAAGCATTTATGGTCCAAAAATCCTTGTGCAAACTCAAACCCTAATTTCAGGTCATCAGTGCAAGATGAGGTGTCTTGAGCTGACCAAACCCTAATCTTATCTTGAGTCTAAGAAGTCTTGTGAGGAAAAATCTTGATAAATGAGAGGGCAAATTTTGGGGTACAACAGTGTTCATAATTTCATAAGATGTATTGATCACGACTAAAGTGCCTAAAATATGTGGGTTATATATTTTAGACGGTTTCACTGTTATTGGTCGTGTATCACCAAATAATGAATACTTTCATAAAAAGAACAAGCTATCGAATTTGAGATCAAGGAATGTTAGGTGCTTGAAGGTTGTTTTAAAACACTTTAATGAATTTTGCATGAAGCAAATGATAAAGATGCATTTGACCACTTATGGCATGTTTATAATAGCTAAGTTGTTAGATAATTTTTAGGATAAGGCCAGCACTAAAGCAACTTACTCGATTGACAAATGTTCATTCACAAAGATAAACTTTAAGGTACTTACGAAGATTTTGAGTATGAAACAAGTATAACACTATGATTTAAAGGTATTCAAAGCTTTGTTGTTTACACAAAACAATTTAGTCTAGCTTGATGGTAAATGTGCCTTCAATGGTTATCCAGAAGTTGGAAATGGTTACAAGTTGTGGAAAGTGAAATCTAGAGGATCAAAGTTCATCAAAAGAAGATGTGTTACTTCCAATGAGGCCCGTAAGGGAGGAAGAGTAAAGACATATAGATGAAGTTATTATAAATTATGGCAGATAAGACTTTGTTTGAGATGGAGGCTCTAACTAGGGAGACTAGGGATGAATATGGAGCTAAGGTTAAGAGGTAAATTGTACAACCTTAGAGATACAATTATGCTGGCCTTGGTTGTTATGATTTGAATGTGGCCGAAGGTTTGAAAAATTCAAAAATAGGGACTTTCAAAGAGGCATTCAAAAGAAAATGTAGTTTCTAGATTAACTACTAGGCAAAGGTGGTTGGGTGCAAATGGAAAAACCAAAGTTCATAAGTGACTTAGACTTAATCAAGGTTGTTTAATAATAATTCAAGTTTAGAGAGATGAACAAAGTGATTGATGAGTAAATTAACATTATCATCTATTTTGAGTCAATGTAGAGATTTACAGAAGTATGCCTAAAAAATTCAACTGATAAGGTGGAATTTTTTTCTAATGCAATTGACTTTGGTCAAAATAGTCAATATTTTCCTTGATTAAAGATCAACAGATTGACTCGGTCAACTGTCATTGGTTGATCAGTCAACAGTCAATGGTTAATGAGTTGACTGGTCATAGTTCGATTGGCCTATGGATGAATTGAGGGCTTGGTTGAGGACTCATATTGGATATTTGGCCCATAATGGTTTAATGATATTATAAATATGGTTCTCCATCACTTTTGTTAGTATGCGAATAAGACATACAATGATAGAAATTTCTTCAAGTTTTTAGAATTAGAAAAACCTTTGGAGGTATCTTAAGGACTTGGACACACTTCTAAACATATTGGATTTGTTTGATTCATATATAAATAGTTGGAGAAATTGAAAAACACTTAAAAGAATATTTTTCTTGTAACTCATTTGTAATCTATTGGTAATAATTTTTGAAAGTATAGTGAATCAGAGATGTGTTATCTACCCCATAGTATATCTATTTGAAAAACTGGGTAAAAAAGTTCTATACACACTCGCCTTTTTATCTTTCTCTTGCTTGTTGTAGATTTGGTTACACTATTTGACATATTGTTTTTTTTACTTGAGGCCTTTTATTTTAATTGTCGTTGTTCTTTTTTCCACACATCAATATTCTTTGTGTGGTTGACATATTAATAGATTTCACAACGAGAAGGTCTTGGTGTGGTTGAACCTTTTAACTTCACCAAAAATGTAATATCAATTTTTAACTCTTTCGTAGAATTTGTTAGGAAGACACACACTTTATAGATACTCATTTTTAGTAAGAATTTATCCCATTAGTTAGGAAGACATACGAATAAGCTATTTTTGTTATGGGTTGTTCCATGATCCACACAAAAATATCCAATATGAAATGTTAGAGAGAAAGGCGCACGAAATATATGAACTGTCATTCATGTCGAAAACACACAATCACACTTTCTATCACAACCCTCATCGTTAGATCTAATTGAATGATAGTCCACACAAGGTGTCAAATCACATGTAGACGATTTTAATCGCTAGACCATATTTTATTATTACAAATATTACATTCATTCTCACTCTCAAACTACTTTTCACTTTACTATTATATAATTTGAATATTTGAATATTGCACAATAACTCTATTCGATCATTTACCACATTTTTTTCTATAAAATTTACATATACTAATTACTCTGATTCGGGGTAAATTTTACCATCAAATGCGTTATACCGCAACATCGCAAGTAAATGAATCCTGAAACCTAGAAACATACAAAAGCGACGTTATAGAACACCGCTTCTCATCTTCTCCACTCTCTGTAACCACTTTTACTTTGTGTTTTCTCACTTAATTGACGATACCTTTTGTTTCATCTTCATTTTCGTTTTGCGCTTTCTCTTTATCAACCTCTCGCATCATTCTAATAAAAATGCCACTTTTAGCCCCTTCATCTTCCGCAACCCCTTTCTGTTTTTCTCAACTGAAAACTCACAATTCAAATTCCCAAACAAGGTTTTCCTCTAATTCATTCACCCCTTTTCAAAACATAACCATTCCCCTTCATAAAACAAGACACAAAGGTTCAAACTTTACACACAAATTTTCATCAAAATGCAATGGGCAGGATGATGATTCATACACCGAAGAATACACTATGTCCCTTGATTGGGATGATGAAGAAGAAATTGCAGACGATGACAAAAAAATCGAGGATACTGAGTCGCCATGGGAAGGTGCAATCATATACAAGAGAAATGCTTCAGTTTTACATCTGGAGTATTGCACTACTTTGGAGAGATTAGGTCTAGGAAGGCTTTCAGATGATATCACAAAAAATAAAGCTTCTGTTATGGGATTGCGAATTGCGAAAACAGTGAAGGATTATCCTAATGGAACTCCTGTTCAGGTTTCTGTTGATGTTACCAGGAAGAAGAAGAAATTGAGGCTTGATGGGATCATCAAAACTGTCATCAAACTTCCGTGTAATAGGTATTTTTTATCATCTATAGCTTTTGTTTTTTGATATCTTTCTTGATGTTACACTGCTTGTTACTTGGTTAGCACTTTAGGGTTACCATTCCTTCCCTGTTTGCTGTTTGCTGCTTGCTGCGTTTGCATGTAAATGATAAAATTCATACTGCTTTATTGAAATCGGGAGTAATTGACTACAATTGTTGTATGTAACTGAAAGCAGGGATGCAAGAACCAGGAAATTAGTTATTGGTGTTCTCTTTACGTGGAATGTTATATATCTGTTCTACAGGGTAGTCTTAAGTTTTCGGAGGGCTTATTATGGTTTAACTTTGCAAAAACAAATAGGGCCCCTATTTTGTTATGGTTTAACCATAATAAATATTTTATGAAACCCTTTTTAGCTACGGTTTAACAGTGAAAAACTTTGGGCCTTGTGCGGTAGCTCGCCTTCAAAGACGCCTTCAAAGACGATCTTACTGTTTTATACTGAGTGTTGGATTACCCTGTTATGTATCATATTATACTAGGTGTTGGATGGCTTTGTATGTTGGTTCTGATTAGATAATAGGGTAAGATGCAGTTTTAACAATGGAAGAGTTGGGCCGGGTGTGACAAGTGTTGGCTAGTGTTTGGACGAGTTGGGCCTCTTCCAAAGTGGTGGTTTTCTGCTGGAAGTTGCTGCAAGATAGGTTGCCGATTTGACAAAATTTGGCTAGGCGGGGAATTGGGTCCAAGGGTATCTAGGGAGGATGTGTGTTTTGTTTGAAGTTTTTAGAGTCCGGATCATTTGCATGTTTGTTCAGAGTGAGGTAGCCTTGATTTGGTATAAAGTGCTTAGCTGGGTGGGGAGGCCCCTTCCCGCTTCTCTGTTCTATTTTAGGTACTAGAGGATTCTCAGGGGTTTGGCCAGAGTAAGAAATCTCGCTTAGGTCTGCTTCCGGTCTTGCATTAAGTGGTCTGGGTGATTTGGAAAATGCAGAATAATAACATTTGATAAAGTTTATCACATTTGATATGATTGGTTTGTTTTACGAAACAATATTTTTTTGCTGCACAATAATATTCCATTATCAGTCTCAGTTTATTAAAACTTACACTATGCCAAGCCTGATTTTGGAGCGATAATAACAGGGAAGCATTCTTGGGTGGTTCTAGTAACACGATATCTCATGTATGTTTTCGCTTGCTTAGTTGCAGAGTATCTTCCCTGGATATTTTTTACTTTTCTATTCTATCAGGTACTAAAAACTGCAAATGGCGAGTTTGTTTCAAGTACTTGTTAAAGAAATCAAAAGGCAATGCATGCAGGCCTAGAAAACGATTTTGGTTGTTCCATAGTGAAAAGAAAAAAAAAAACGAATATACAAACATAGCATGGATTTTTCATTTTAAATAAGGAAAAAGCTAACATGTGCCCCAAGGACACAAGTTAATAAATTATTTGTAAAAATATTTTTTTTAGAACGCGTGTATTCAATGTTTTGAAACTTTAAATATGACTCTATTATATTTAATTAATATTTAAATTTTTTTCATTATAATATCCTTAACATGTGCCCTTAAGACACTTAGGACACATGTTAGCACGACCCTTTAAATAAAATTAACATGTTTCAATGTGATTTTCTATTGAAGGTGTGGCAGGCCATTTGGTGAGGGGATATTCTCCGAGTTCTCTCTTTTACTCACCGAAGAACCACCTATTTATGATCCCAAGAGTAACAATTTGGGTGTCATTTTTGGGGTAGACAAAATTTCAACCCTTGGAAAAAGTGAAGAGGAAGACGAAGACGCATTAATTGATCCGGACGATCAACTATATTTTCCTCGCGGAGAGAAACAAATTGACATTTCAAAAAACATAAGAGACATGGTGCATCTTGAGATTGACATAAGTTCAGTATGTGATCCTGGGTGCAAAGGTATGTGCATGAAATGCGGTCGAAACTTTAACACCGGGAGTTGTAGCTGTAGTAGTAAAAAGGAAGTAAAAGAAGAAAGCTTTGGCCCGTTTGCAAATTTAAGAGAGAAGATACAATTGAAACAATCTTGAAGTTCATGTTTAAGATTTTCTAAGGGTGCTGAATCAGTTTTTACTTTTTCTGGTTTGATGTACTAACATTGTTAAGTGCGTGCTTAGAGTTTCATGCAATCATACTCGTGATGTATTAGAACAAAAGATATACATTTTATATGAAAAAAAAAGTGTATTTAACAAAACTCTCTGTGTGAATCCAATTGGTATGAACCTTAGTTGACTCAATTGGGTTTAAATTTGGTTGAATTTTGCCTGTTCATACTTCATATGTGTTTAGGTTGTCAAATCATAATTTTAAAAGAGATCACATTTGACACCAAAGAAAATAGTAGTATAAAAAGAACGGAGTATACAAAGCTAAAGAGAGTGGTTATGAGACTATTGATCATTCAACATTTTCCACGTGCGTCTCTTGTTTGTGCCCTGCCAAAAGCCACACGACAATTAAAATTACTCGATCATTTTCTTAAAGTGTGTTTTTTCGTAAAGTGTGTTTGGATTAACGGTAAATAGAATTAATTCTATTAGAATTGAGGTGAGTAGAATTGATTTTATCCGAATTGAGTTTAGCATAATTAATTTATACTTGAATACATTTATGTAAATTTGAATTGAAAAATAAATTTCAGTGTAAATCATCCAGAATCAATTCTGAACGTGGAAGCTATAAATTCTAATTTTAAGTAAAACCAATTCTAGAGACAGAATCAATTCTACTTTAACTTAACCAAACATCTCAAAATCATTCGGAATCAATTTCACACTTTTAAAATTGCTTTTGGTCATTTCAAAAGCCATACTGCTGGCCCTTGAAAATTTAAAGATTAATGGGGTAGATTATGTTTGTGTGGAGTGAGTTGAGACTTTGTCGCTCATATTGTGTTTGCCATCATTCTATTTTGACGATTAAAGGTTTTGTACTGTCAACATAGTTGACATAGTGAAATGGCTGTGTGAGCCAAACTAATTAAGGAATTGGTAAGTGTAATACGGTGGAAGAACTGACTTTTAGTTTTGCGTTTTATCGTAAATATTATCGATAGCAAGAGTCGTCACCGACTTTTTTTATCCAATAAAGGAAAGGGTGAAAAGAACAGGAAAGACATTTGAGAATTTTTACTTGAGTTCGGGGGATAGGTTATGAAAAGGGAAGGTGTTATCATCCTTTTCATCTGTAGTTATCTACGGGCTCTTAATTGCTAGTTCACTTTTAAAATGCTTTGTGTATGTTTGAAAATATTTTGAAAATACCTAAGTGCGGCAATTTTGTAATGATTCTCGTATCGTTGAGAATGTATACAAAATGTTTGTTTTGAAAATATTTTGAAAGAAATGTGGTTTTGTGAAAAATATTTTGAAGATGCCAATGTAAGGCAATTTGCTTTATAATAACCCTTGTATCAGTCCTCAAGAGTGTTTATAAAGCGCTTTGAAAGTTGTTGTTTTGAAAATGTTAAGTGTAAAGATTGTTTTAGTTTGTGAGCAAGCAATTACGAGCGATCTACCTACTCAAAAATTCTTTGTTGTTTTCCTCCTCCTTTAGATAGTGCTATCCTACCATTAGTTAGTAGGAAGCCCTATCATTGGATGTGGGGGACAAGCGTGAGTCATCGTATAGTCATAGAAGGCAACTTGTAGGACACGTTAGCAATTGTTGTAAGAGACTAAAATCGTTTACTGAAGGCAACATCGAAGGGTCATCGAGGGACTACAATCTTTTAACCGAGAGTCTTTGCTAAAGCATCTCACGTTCAAGGGACATGACTGTTTAAATCCTAGGCAACAAGTGAGGGTATCCTAGAGGTGCATGCGTGCAAAGTGTTTTGATTTGAAGTATTTTTGTCTTGAAATTAGGTTTTCTAATGTTTATTTTAATCTTGCCATACAAACCCTAATTATTAACAATAATAAGAAAAACAGTAAATTGCATAAATTAAATATTATACGCTATTACAAGGCCTTGGGAATGGGGGTACAAATTTGTGAATGGGCATGAAATGTAAAGGATATCTAATTAAAGCTATTACAAACTTTGAGCATTTACAATATTGGAAAATATTAATGCGAAAGTAAAGTGCGCGAAGATGGTGAAAATGGGGAAAATATTTAAAAAAATCCTAAAATATTTCTTAAGCATTTAAGAAAAGATTTTGTTGTTTTTGTTTAAAAAAAATATTTGAAATATAAAATAAAAATTTAGACCTAATTCTAATTTAATTTACAATTTAATTATTTAAAATAAAATAAGGTGTGATTAAATTCATTAATATTTATTATTAAATAATTAAAATCTAAAGAATTTTAAGTATTTAGAAAATATTTTTGGTGTTTTATTTAAAAAAGATATTTGAAGCGTAAAATCTAATTCTAATTAAATAAAATCAAAGTGATTAAATTAATTTTTATTTGTCAAAAAATAAATAAATAAATTAAAAACCTAAATTTAATTTTTTATTAATTTATGATTTTTTTTTATTAAATAAATAAATGATTTAGAAAAAAAAATTATTAAAAAAAAAGAAAATATAAATAGATCCGCAGTATAAGAATTTGGGGGGGGGGGGGGGGGGGGGGGGTTGTTGAAAAAGAAAAAAATGTTAGGCCCAAATAGAGGAGCCCAGGCGCTGTTTGAGATCCAATGAGGTTGGTCTTAAGAAGTCCACCATGGTACTGGCTGCCTGAGGCGCTGGATCTTGAATCTTGAGATCTGATGGTCAAGATGTTAGGTTGCATAATGCGCACGATGAGCTTGTTCACACTGAATCTGCAAGGGAAATGTTAGAAAAATAAAATGTCCCACGTCTGGATCGAACCCAGGACCGGGCATAGGTATGACCTAAACACGCGCGCTGCCACTGGGGTGGCTGTTACATCCGGTGGTAAAACATGTTGCAAAAAATATAAAGTAAACTTGTTTTCAAAATTGGACTTCATCTTCTTCCTCGCGCGCGTTTACAGCAACAACAACAACATTTTCAAACTTTGTAAAAGCTTCATTTCTCAACAAAATTGAAAAATGTAAACATCAAACTTGCTTGAATTTTAACCACGAATCCAACCATATAACTTTCAAAAGCTATAGATCAATGGTTAGGACGAATTTTGTTTGGTACCAAACTGAGCCCTAATATCGCATAAACTCCAAATCTAAATTTCTCATCACACAGTCAACATAAATGAAAACTAAGGACATGGTTATTTTCAGGGCATTGATATCTATATTTTTGTTTTAGAAAAATAAATGCAAATGATGCTTGTACAGAGATTTCAAAGTTTAGAAAACTAACCTCTGAAGTGAGAATCGAGTTTGAATTTAGAGCACTTCTGGAGGTGTTAGGATGATCTGGATAGCTTCACTGAACTCCCAGGAAGCTTTTGCAATCCCTACCTTGGATTGAGAGCGCCTCAATTCTTCTGGACAAGTCAATTTGCAGAGGTGTAAAGTGAGGTTTGGACAATAATGATGGAGGTATTACAATGATGAAACAAGGGTATGTATGGATTCTATATGATGTATAGATGATGTTTGAATGATAAAAAATAAAACGCATGAGTGGATTTAAAGTTGGGTATTGGAAGCTTCAAATGTGCAACAATGGAGTCTTCAAACGCACCAGAATTGAAAGATAACAAGTTATGGTTTTGAAGCTTGGCTTTGAAGTAACTTGCAAAGTCATGGTTCCAAGGCAATGTAGGGTGGCTGATAGGCTGTAGATGGTTGCTTCTTGGTGCTGAGATGTTCTGAAGTCAAAAGCAATAATGTATGGGCTCAAGGAGAGTCGACATTGTGTATAAAGTCAATTTACAAGAATGGAAGTGTGAACTTTCTTCCCTTAATGGCAAAATGGATTGGACAAAGCTTTAATCACTTGGATCATAGCTCAAAAGCTCGTGTAATATTCTTATTATAGCAATATTTGGAGGTTAGAGGCCTGTAAAGTGAGATTATGCAGCATGGCTTAAAGATTTGGTTATGAACTTGTCACAAAAATGGCCTATAATGCAATCTAAGATACCCAACTGCATCTCTTTGAAACTTCTAGCTCAAGCATGATAAAATTGTGTTCTTGGACATTTTGGAAAGCTTGAAACATTGTCCACAACTTTCATGTTGTGATTTTTGGCTAAATCAAACGGAAAATTGGTGGAAATTGGTCAATAAGTTGGGATGAAAAATTGACCAAAACTTGTTGAAAATTTGTCTAAGTGTTGGATAAAAATAATCAGAACTTCATGGGCCTATATCTCTTAATCCAATCACTTTTTGAGGTTCATCCCACATTGACAAAGTTGTAGAATTCATCAATCCCTACAACTTTCATGTTGAAAGTTTTCCTTGAATCAACTTGTATCTTGAGGAAACTTGCTTGTGAAGTTAGGGTTTTTTAGGTATAAAACACTTGAATTTTTCTAAGTGTTTGAAAAAATTTCAATTTTGACTTTTGTTGACTTTCTTGATTCTTGATGATCAAGTTTGATAATTTTGAATGTCTTGATGATTCTTGATTTTTGAATTCCAATGTTAACCAAAAAGTCAAAGTTTGACTATTGAGTGACTGTTGACTTTTCATCAATTGATTCAAATTTTAAACTATCAATCACTTGCATATTTGGAAATATTTTAAGCCATGTAATTAGGTCAAGATGTTGTATTTGAGTCCTTAAGATCGTGCTTTAACCTATTAGGTCATGCACTAGGTCAACAGTCAATGATCAATCATCCTCAGTCAAAACTCTAATTTTGGCAATTTTTGACCTTTGATGATTTGAGGGCTTACCTTGAGGAATCATGGTCAACACTTGATCAAATTATTAATATAACCTCAAAATGTTGATGTTGACAAAAAATCTTGAAGTTTGACTGTATGTTGGTCACAATTGACTTTTTACCCTATACAATTGATTTTCAATCATCTGAGCCATTGATTGAGCAAACATGTGATGTAAGACTTGAAACTTTACATAAGCATTATTGAGGACCTATGATGAACCATGAAAGTAATTTGAGACCCTTG